ATATAAAATACTTAAAAAATTTAAATGACTATACAGAAGGAATTTTTCCAGAATAGAAATGTAAGGCCAGGCTTGGCAGCACACACTTACAGTGGCACGCTCTGGAAGTCTGAGGCAGGAGGATCACAAGTTCAATCCCACCCTAGGTAATGTGGCAAAACTCCAATTCAAAAAATTAAAAAAGAGCTAAGGGATAGTCCAGTTGAAAGACCCTATACTCAACCCAAAGTACCACAAAGTAAGGGAAGTAAAAAAAAAATAAGGTAAGTAAATGAAAGTTAACGTAAAAATTAACCCAATCCTCTGGAACTACTTCACAGAAGCAAATACAAAACTATTCTAAAGGGTCTAAATTCAAGAGTGCCCCGCTAGCTCAGTCAGTAGAACACGCCACTCTTAAAGGGCCTAAATTCAGTCTGATATAGATGTTCATTCAGTCTAAGATGGATTCTCACAGAAAAACCCTGTTAAAGGCCATAATAAAAATTATGAACACACAAACATGTAATATAAGCAAAAACAGACAGATCAGAGCCAGGCCTGGTTACAAACACTTGTAACCCAAGATACTTGAGAGGCCAAGGCAGAAGACTTAGAAGTTTGATGGTAACCTCCGCAACTTAACAAGATGGTCTACACATGAAATGTTACTCTGTGTGTGTGCGTGTGTGTGTGTGTGTGTGTGTGTACTGAGAATTGAACTCAGGATCTTGTACTTGCCAGGCAGGCAGTTATGCCACTGAACTATATCCCTGGTCCACAAAATGAAATTTTAAAAAGAGCTGGGAATGTGTTAAAAGAGCCCTTGGGTCAGTCCTCAGTATGGGGGGTACATTGGGGGTGTGTAAACAGATTAGCATCACCTTTGGCAACAGTCAAACACAATCAAGTCTGATGAAGACGATGCTTTTTTTGAGATAAGACCACATTACATAGTACAGGCTGCTCTTGAACTCACCGTGCTCCTCCTGCCGCAGCCTCTACAGTGCTGAGATTACTCCAAAACCCTACTATACTCTACTAAGGATCAGCAGATTGGAAAAAGAAGCATAGATGATATGTATCATCTGATAGAAGTTCCACAGGAAAAGAACAGAGAAAGTAAAGGGAAGGTAACATTTTTGAATTCTTAAAATAGGAATCTGAAGTATCAAGCAAAATAAAAGAATATTCATATTCAGGTAAGGTATAGCTAAGCCACAGATCAGCAAAAAAGGAACCAAAAGGGGAAAAAATTACCTATCAAGGAATGATAATAAGGTTGACAGCAGACTTCAATCATGACAATGGAAATATTTCTGTCTCCCACATGCTGACAGAAAATAACTCATTCTAGAATATTATGCCCACCTATGCTACTATTTAATAGTAAGAGTGGAGGGCTGGTGAGATGGCTCAGTGGTCTAAAGCACCTACTTAGAACAAGCTTAGCAAAGCACAGGGACTGCGGTTCAATCCCCCAGCACCACATGCCTGCCAGCCCCGCCCCCTGGTGGGCTGAGCTGGCCACACACACACACACACACACACACTCACAAATAGATAAAATTAAAAA